GGCATGTATTCGTAACTACCATTGTTAGTTCATTTTCGGTGTAAAGCGAACCCACTAAAAACAAGCAAAAAGTAATTCCATGGGCGAGAGAGAGAGAGAGAGAGAGAGAGAGAGAGAGAGAGAGAGAGAGAGAGAGAGCCCGAGGACATGTTGGTATTCTAGTCGGCACGGAGGACCATCTCATCGAAGGTTGTCATGGCGCGGGCGGTGTGGCCCTCCTCCTAGCCCTCAAAGAGGATGACGAACATATCGACGTCAGGGGGCATGTGGGCCTTGATCCGATCATATAATTCAGTGGCGTTAGCGGCGCGACCATCTTGGTAGCAGATGGCATTGAGAAGGGAGTTAATAGCAATGACCATGAGGTTCTAGGCACGGGTGTGTACTTCAGGGAGAGACCAGACTTATGGGATGACGCCGCAACTGGAGAGGGCGCGTTCCAGTTCCGTCGTTGTGGTGCAAGAGAGGATTTCACAAAGGGAGTGAACATGGTGGATGGGTTGGCCTGATCGAAGCAGCGAGCTATGCCTTCCAACTTCTGAGCAACACAATGTATGCCACACCGTGCGGGAACTTGGAGCTGCAAGGTATGTCTTCTATATTTGATTTTTCTAGGAATGTTAAACTAGCTGGTGATCAATTGAGGGACTTCAATATGATAAATAATTCCAGTTTGAGAATAGGCACACTAGGTGCTCGATTGAATGTCTCATCCAAACGGCCTCTGATTTTACTTTACTATGCATACATCCAACAACAACAACAATAACATCATCATCATCAAGCCTTTTTCCCACAATGTGGGGTCGACTAAATGAATCCTTTTTCTCTATTGTGCCATATTAAAAATTAAATTCTCATTTAAATCTAATAAAGAAAGGTCATTTCTAATATTTTCTAATCAAAGCTTTTTAGGTCTGTCTTCATCTTAACATAAGTCAAATCTAATACATCTACTTTTCTAACCGGTCATCAGAAGACTGTTGTTTTAAGTTTCCAAACCATTTAAGGCGATTCTCTCTAAACTTATCTTCCACTGGTGCAACTCCAACCTTTTCACGTATATGCTCATTTCGTATCTTGCCTCTAATATTAAAGCCACTCATCCACCTGATCATCCTCATCTTTGCAACACTTAAACTTAATATTATGCTTCTCTTTTAATGACCAACATTCTGCACCATAAAACATTGTAGGTCTATCCACCATCTTATAGAGCTTTCCTTTAAGTTTGAGGGGGGCTTTTCTATCACACAACAAGCCCGATGCATTCCTCTACTTCCAACCAAAACAAAAAAAACAAAAAATCAGTTCCTCTTCATTCACTTTACAGACAACCAAATAGCCTCAAGTATTTACTTTACAATGCATTCACTTTATGGCCAACCAAACACCCCCTAAGAGAAATCTAAAAAATTATGTGCGAATTTTTGGAACTAAAAGAAAAAATGCCTGAGTATTTGTATAGAAGGGATTCATGGGAATAATTCATAATATTGTCTAGTTGGGCAGCTAACCTAAGAGTTTGCCTAAGGTAGTTAAATGAGGATTTTGATAAGTTACATTAAAGACCAAAATGTTCTTTTGAATGCTATCTTGAAAGGAAGAAGCACCACTATACAACAAACAATCATCTGTAAATTGTAGACTATTTATTGGAGGCGACATTGTGGAAGCAACACCCATCATGGAAGCAACACCCATCATCCCAATTGTGAACTGAAGCTCCATAAATCTATATTTAAAACAACATCCACAATAATGATAAAAACCGAAGAATGGGGGTCTCTTTGCCAAAGTCCCTTGAAGCGTTTGAATTGCATGCTAAGCTCTAAATTGAATGTAAGCTGGGAATTGGCATAAGCAATTGATTCGATGATCTATGAATTAAATTTGACGGGTAAAAACTGCCCTTAAGAAAGTTCATTGAAAGAGAGTTCTATTTGCGTCTTTTCAAAATTCAATTTGAATCTAAACTTTTTTTTTTTTTTTTGCTCGAGGATTGTGTAAATCAATTCATGGGTAGCAACAGTACAATCGTTAGACCCTCTACCAACAATAAAAACACCTTATGAAACATTAACCCAAGGTTTCAAATTGCGCAATTGGGTATTTAGGAGCTTTCGTCCGTGAGGTGAGGCATAAGCCTCAAGGTATTTTCAGATGTAAACCTCAAAATTAAAAAATTATGTAAAGTGAAAATAAGTGTTAAAAGTAAAATTTTTATATAATAATCAAAATAATAACATATTAATTTTCTATTGAATTATGAAGTAACAAATTGACATATATATGAAATAAAAATTGCACAAGACGTAAAATGATAATTGATAAATTGCGTGAAATAGAATTGAAATCCAAACATTACAAGAGCAAAATAACATATAATATAGGAATTGCATAAAAATGTTATATAATATAAAGTATAACTCCAAATTTCTCATTTCTCAATTCCCTATACATCCACATTTAATTTCTAAAGAAATCTGAAATAATATGACAATAACTTAGAAGTCATTTGCACTGTTAGCACTAAGGGGGTATTCATTTAAGTCGTCATCATAACGATTTGCTCTCTCTCCTGCCTCAACACCTATGGAGTCCAATGCCTCCCAAGTTGAAATAGTATGGAGATGGTGGGTTGGAGGTCAAGGCAGTTGAGAAGAATTTGTCGTGGCTTAGAAGTGCATGAAGATGTGATTTGTTCGAGGTTTTAGTTTAGAATTTAGGTAAGTTTTAATTAAAAAAAAATAGAGTTAAGTGTATGCCCCATTCCAATGAGGCAAGGCGCGCATTAAAGCGCATGCCTTTAGTTCACCAAAATTGTGGTGAGATAGGCCTCACGTAAGCCTCATATTGCGCAATTTTAAAAATTGCATTAACCAAATTGGGCATAAACCTGTTCAGTATGTTCGTAAGGAAGTTAGTGAAAGATTCTGAATGCATTAATTAAGCTACCAGGTTTAAATCCTTGAGTGGATTACTGCATTATTAATTAAGCTAACAGGTTTAAAGACATATCACAACTAAGCTTAAACTAGAAAGATAAGAATTACCCAAATAAATTTCTTGAAACATATTAACCAAATATTGTTGGAATATCACACATTTCTTGAAAAAAATGTTGATAAGAAAAGCATGGGAAAAGCGGGAAATATATTTATAGACACCAAAAGTGAACATCATCCCCTAAGATGCGAGAATGTAAGCATGAAAGAATTGGGGATCAGGAGAAGGATATAGGTTATGGTAATCAACAATAATGTTGGAGGCTAGACAACTATTGCTAAAAAGTTGTTTGTAGTAAGTCAAGAAAGCCTGATATGGAACTCCTTAGTGAAACTTGATTGCCCAGTTTACTGTGATAAACAAAGTTTCATTATCTTTTCCAGTGAACTGTTTTGTTGAAGAATAATGTGTTATTATTTTCCCAACAAACCAATTAACTTTGATCCTTAGGTGCCAATAAGTCATCTTCTCTTTCAATTTATTGTAGAATTAAATCTTACCTTATTTATATTATTCAAGATCCTGAATAGAGCAAATACCACATTTAACTTTAATTTCAATTTTATCAGGTTAGAACCTCATAAAACTTTTCCCCGTATATACAATGTATTATTGCATTTCTAGAGTTTAAGCCTCCGAATAAGCCTTTGGTACCAAGCATTTAACACCATCGCTTTGAACAAAAAATCATTTCCACCAAAGAGAATCATTTTTTTTTCGACCTTTGTTGTAATTTTCAAATTTAAAAATCCTTGGTTTAAAAATCATTGTAAGGTCAGAATAGAAAATGGCAGTGCAATGGTCATAATAAGTTATTTAAAACATTTTGTTCCACAAGTATGAAAAAGCTCTTAACAAGTAGAGAGGAAAAGCTTGTTAAGCTTTGTAAAAAAAAATCTTCTTTTTTATGTTAAATCATATGAATCCACGACCCAATTGATGTAGGTCAATACAAATTGAAGAAATTGATAAAATCAACAAGGAAATTGAAGTTGCTAGAGGCGTTAGGCACCCTCAAGGTGCAAGTCAACATAATTCCTGAGGTACGTGCTTTGGTGGGGGCGCAAAAATTTGACTATTTTAATTTAAGGAATAGTTTTTGATGTTGGTCATAATAAGTTATTTAAAACATTTTGTTCCACAAGTATGAAAAAGCTCTTAACAAGTAGAGAGGAAAAGCTTGTTAAGCTTTGTAAAAAAAATCTTCTTTTTTATGTTAAATCATATGAATCCACGACCCAATTGATGTAGGTCAATACAAATTGAAGAAATTGATAAAATCAACAAGGAAATTGAAGTTGCTAGAGGCGTTAGGCACCCTCAAGGTGCAAGTCAACATAATTCCTGAGGTACGGGCTTTGGTGGGGGCGCAAAAATTTGACAGAATTCTTGATTTCATCAGTTTTGGAGTTCACATTATGATAATCAGCATAATAAAGTTATAAAATTTGTTTGAAAAAACACATTTTTTAAGTTTAGTTTTTTTCCATATACCAAGGCAACAAAGCCTTACCAAATATATTTCCTTTGTTAGAAACTATTGTAGATTAAATGCCTATCCTTTATGTAATTCTACTATGCTTGGAAATTTTTTTGGTAAGACCAAAACTTGTTTAAGTGTTATTTTGTGCTCTACAATGCACACTAACTGGATATGGATCTTAATTGCATCGACTTTTCTGCTATAATTGCTGTTGTTTTGGTTAGTGCTTCTGCTTTGCTCTCGTAGCTGCTGTCCCAACTTCTACTGCATTGCTGATGTCACTCTTTCCAATATTGATACTTTCTATTCTCTAGCTTCTCCTATTGCTGCCGCATCTCCTATTAGCTACAAGTGATTACCAATTTTTTTTGGCAGCTTTAAAATCAATGACAGTGAATTACTTTGTTAGCATTTGTATGCTTGAATTCAAATGTGCAAGTCGGTTTTCTTATGTTGTTGAGTTTACTCTTTATAGATTATTACTGAAAACATGTTAATAATGTTACAGCCATGAAACTCAAAGCATCGGCCTTCTATCATATACATTCTTGAGAAGAACAATGAAAGATGACATCATTGTGCCAATGGTGATGCTATCTTTGATTCATTGATATTATTTTGCGAAAAGGTACAACATTACTAAATTAGAGCCTACCTTCTGGCATTGCAGGTTGATTTTCAAAGTTATGAAAAGGAAATGAAACCATTAGTTTATAGTTCACAGGATGATTGGGATGATAGCTTAGGAGTAATTCTTGATTGGTCACCATTTTCTTCGAAAGTGCAGCTCCTGCAACAGGTTTCATTTCTTCTTGAAATTGATTTATGTTCCATTGGAATGCAAGTGTTTTTTGCGCTTCTCCATGAAGAAGCCAATAGTTTGAGGAATTTTCATGGAATTTAGGGAGTGGATGCATTCTAATGGAGGAGACAAACCACTATAATAACATCGATCTCTGTCTGTCTTTATTTTTACTCTACTTTTTGTTTTTATTCTCATGCAATCGGTATACGCTTGCTCTCATATTCTCACATACTTGTTGGATCAATCTTGGTTAAAGTTACTTTTAGTTTCAATTTATTTCTGAAGACACCCGAGTCAACCTCCCTACCAATTTTCAGCTAGTTAGAGGCCAAGCATATGCCTGCTTCTTTATAATCTTGTGATTTTTTTTTTTTGTATTTTGACACGTGGAACTTGCTATTGCCGCTACAATAATTTTATCTTATGTGTAGCATGCTTCATGTAAATAATATTATTAACTCGTTTTTTGTTAGAAATTGCATATTTTTTCTTTAATAGACCATTAATGTACATCATATCACAGTGAGCTTCATCTCTTTTACACAATGAATTCAGTTGTCAATATCCGCTGCAGACATGCAAGATAGACTGAAGCTTTCTATGAAATTAAGTTTACCACTGCAGTATAAGGCTGTTTTTACCTGTGAAGGGTTTGATAAACTCTTAAGGTTACAGATTTGTACTTGCATTTGGTTTGAGGCTTGTTTCGTACCTTAATTTGTTAAGTTGGCTAGACCCATGCATTGTTCTTGATGTGCTATCTAAGGCATTGTTAGGGGAAGGGACCCTACCTGTTGCTGGTAGTCTTGGAGCTTTCCATTTCATCTTCAACAAAAGAGGAACAGAAGGGGTTCCCTGGCATTAGTAAAATTAGGGTTGGTTGGCAAGGTGATTGCTGCTTTGTGAGATTGTTTCTTTGTTTTCCATTAAGAAGGCTGGAGGGGCGATAAGTGATGGGGATTGATGCCATTGCTAAACCTGCAGTTAGACATTTTTGTTGTTTGGTTGATTGACTTTAGTCTTGCACGTAGAGCACATGGTGGCCATCATTTGGTTTCTTATGGATTTTTATGTTCTTTTGTAGGGGCCTTAGGAGCCACTCATTGTAACTAGTATTCTTAGATTATGGCATGGTTTAACTTTTTTGGATGAATGAACGATAATTTCCTCTTCTTTTTCTGTAATGTTGCCATGATCACCTTTTTCTCTTTAACTGCTAATTTCCTTGTTCCCAAGTTTTGATCAATCTTCCCTCTCGATTCCCCCTTCTTCCTCGCATTTACCTCTCTCATCTATTTCATTTTCTACATCTTCTCAACTCTCCATATACTCCCCCCTTATCTCTCCTTCACTTTCAAGTCCCCCTCTTTGCACTCTTACTCTCTTTGTATTGGTTTCTTCATCTTTCTCAGACCTCATGCCCACTCCAACTCGATTAACTTTTTCACACTTGATTCTGTCTTCTTACTCCTAGGCTTTGCAGCTATTTTGCCCAGCAATCTCTCTGCACATTACTGTCTCTCTGAATCCTAAGACCCTGCTATCCTATATTTTCTTCCACTTAATTAAGGGACACTCTGTATTAGAATGGTTTAGAGCTAAGGACATTAGTTATACGTACTTCTATATATATATATATATATTTTTGATAGTTTAAAATAATTAGTATCATTATAATAAAAGAAAAATATAATATGGATTTATTTTGAAATATAAATAAAAAATGCAAATTACAGTAGTTTTAACGACTTATGATTTTGAAACCATAGGCTCTCAAGGCATCCGTTGCTAGGCGTGTAAGGTGCCATAAGCACTTTCAGGTGCCATAACCACTTTTAACTGAATCGTACAACACCCTTTGCAGTATAAAAGAACACAAAAATACATCCACCAACTCTCTTTTCTTCACACACTCACTGCAAGCATGCACACCTATTATTCTTTATATCAACGCCCTGCATGATCTCTTTAAACCCAAATCTCACGCCTTTTCTTCATCTTAGCAGCTGCAATAGCTCACAATAGTTACCAATCCTTCACTAGCGCCTCCCTGTCCATCAATGCACTCCTTTGGTAACTTCGACTTTTGGTCCAATATCCATTTTTCTAATACAATCTCTTCAAATATTGTTGTCAACATTGTGTAGAAGCATTAAGGTGCAGCTTCATTATCTTGTATAAACCTTGTGTGTGTCTTTATTGACGCAATGTGTAAGTTATAATTTATTATTTTTTGCGTGAGGGGAACTCTTCTAGAGTATCTTTTCATGTTTTCTTGTAGTGGATCTAAAGATAACTCGTCCAAACGTTTGCGTAGGACCTATGCGTGTCATTCTTGGCTTGATTGTGGACAATACATTTGCCATGGTGTCCTGTACACTACCCACGTATGCATTTTATTAATGTGATGGGTAGACCCATCATACTCCCTATTAACCCTTATGTTGGGGTGACATAGAAGTGTTGTCGTAATTCACTCATAACCCATGTAAAAAGTTGTGCAAAAAAGACTTTTGGGGTAAAATTGGTGCACCAAACTTAAAAGAATTGATAAAGTACAAAAGTGAGATAACATGAATAGTCAAAACACTCATGTAAAAAAAAAAAAGAACTAAGTGAACCGGCATGAATTATAATAGGGGTGTCAAAAACTGACATTACCCGAAAACCCGAGCCGAACCTGACCCGAAAAATCTGGGTTCGGGTCAACTCGTTAAAGAAACGGGCCAGCTTCGGGTCTAATTTCTGAACCCTTTTAGAATTTGGGTACGGTTCGGGTTGACCCGGCAACCCGAAATCAACTCGAAGTGACCCTTGTCAGGGTCCGCAGTCTTCTAGCCCGCCTGACTGGTGACTGCCAGTTTCGAACTGGTTCGAAATGCGAAATCTCCAAGCGGCAAGCCTTCCCGCCTTCCGTCAGTTTCATTTGTGCCAAGATGCTCCTAGTCCGCCTTACTGTCTCGATCTGGCCGCCTCACCTCACCACGCGTCACACTCGACAATAGACGCCCACACCGCACCCGCAGCCCGCAGGTCCCGCACTTTGACTTGGTAGCGGACGCCCGCAAGCCCATGCGGCACGTTGCCTGGCTCAGTCCGAGTCCGCCGCTCACAAGCCCATGCGCTCGGCCTTTGACTAAGATGCTGGCCCCCAAGCCAATGACGCGACTTAGCAACTGCGTCGCTGGTTCACGTGTCGGGTCGGGTCAACACGTCAACCTGTGCGGGTCTAGTTCAGGTTAATAATCCTGACCCATTTAGCTAAACGGGTCGAGTTCGGGTCAACCTGTTTATGCCCGGGTCAACTTGGGTTTGACCCAAACCCGACCCGTTGACCCGAATTGACACCCTAAATTATACTGGCGGCTTCACTGTATCTGGGAACATTCTTCTCTCAAAATGGGACAAATAATATGCAAGGCACTCCTTTTTATAAGCATAGATTCTTAACTTTTGGGACTTGAATAGGCGCCAACACATTAAAATATGAACAAAATAATATCATTTCAAGTACTTTTAAATATTTTGCATCGTGATGTGCATGTGCAAATAAACCTTCTTGAATAGTTGTAATTAAGCAAAAAATAATATTGCTAACACAAACTGAGAAAGGTGCAAACTTATTCTTTATAGTGTGAACATCTCAATTATGCCATGTGCATAAGTTCTTGAGCAAAATGAAAGGGTGAGAAATGCTTTTGTTGTTTTGAGATATTTTTGTAGAAGACGTTTGCAAATTTCAAAATAAAATATTGTGCATTTTTCAATAATAGTCATTTGCACAACTGGTTATATTTTAATATTGCAAAAATAGTCACTCATGCATTGAAATGCACAATGATACATTCAGAGTATGCATATGCAAATTGTAAATGCTTTTGGAAGCATGCGAGTGTACAACGCAAACACATAATGACTGCATATAGTTTGGAATGAGTAGATATGTTGCGAGTATTCTCACCTGACATACAAATGCACTAAGCACATATACATCGTTGCATGCAAAACACAATATGTAAGCACATCATTCAATATGCAAAGTAAACACAATATGTAAACACCTAATATGCAAAGTATGTTACGCCGTGATGGCGCGTTATATACACACTATGCATATATACGTTTCAACTTGCAAAATGCATTGTGCAAGCACACTGTCTACTATGCGAAATGCATTATGCAAGCATACTATTGAACATGTAAAATGTATTGTGTAGTAGCAACGCGTTATGACGACATGCTAACACATCATGCGCTACACGATAACATCAAATCATCATGCAAATGTATTATGTAGACAAAAAGGCAATACATGGATGCATTATACATATATATCATGCAAATACATCATACACTATGTTAATGCATTAAGCCACTAAGTAGCATATCAACGCATCATGTAAGAACGATTAAGTAGTGTGCAAAAGCATATACAAACATATATCCATACATGTAAATATATAATGCAATAAAAAATTTGGGAGAGGGCCCCAAATTTTTGATCACAAAAACAAGACTCTTTCTAGGATGATAGAAAGACATAAAATACTCAAAACTTGACAAAATATAACTAACAAAACAAAACACAATTTTAATATTATAAAAGGACTTACAAACAAGGACTCTTACAAACTTTGACGCTTACAAACATTTGACAAATTTATGACTTCAAAACAAACACCTAAAGAAGCTTTCATCCATTAAAAGAAGGATACAGGTGAGGTCTAAACTTGCGGAGAGACGAAAGAGATTAGAAGCCAAGACGAAGGGCGGAAAGAGCTCGCAAGATTTCCAGAGGAGGTGGGAGAAGAAGGTGGACAAAGCTCGCAAGCTTTTCCAATAAAACTCGCAGGTTTACATTTCCAAAAATCATTCATATAACATTTACTTAAACATACACAAAACATCCCTATATATAGGCATGAGAGGGGAATACAAATAGCCACAAAATTAATTTAAAAATTTATTTAAATAGGTAATATGAAAAGCCAACAGTCAACTCCAGGAAACGAAACATCAAGCCATGGAAAAGCCCCCATCAGCCACGGGAAAACAGCCCAGGCGAAACCCGAAGAGGCAGCCGCAAAAGCCAAGGAGTCCCGCACGGAACCGAAGCACCAAGGCACGGGAAAATCAGCAGCCAACTGGGGAAACCAAGCAGCCAAGGCACGGGAACCAAAGGGCCATCCACGGGAACCAAGGAGCCATCCACGAGAATCAAAGGGACAACAAATGGGGGAATGAACCTCAATTTATGAGCTAAATAAGACTCCCTACTAGATATTAATGAGCCTGATATCTAGTTAGAGGAAAGCAATTTAATGAGCTTGAAACATAAGAAGAAGCTCATTAATGAGCTGATTCAAGTAGAACTTACAATTTTCAAACTCAAATTGTTATGATTTATTCCTTGCCTACATCAGACTCCTCTTCTTGAGGAACTCATCTCCCGTGAGTTGGCTTTGTCTTTCTTCCGGAGGAGGCAAGGAACGGTGCATCCAGCTCTTTGAATTTTTTTGCTTCAAATTTTTGGCACTTTAGTGTAGTCTGCACTTGAATCTTGAAAAGCTTGATCTGAATCGGGTCAAAGAACTTTCTTTGTGGCGAGGTCATTGGATTACTTTCTTGCTTGCTTTCCACTTGATGTTTATCAACTTGACTTAAGAAAGACACAAGAACTTAAACACAAACCTAGGAAGACACAAATAAAAGACTCACGCACAACTATCATGACACATCTAAAACTTACAAAACAAAACTTACATGACATCAAGACACACAAGATTTTACAAGACTCACAAGACTTGACTTGACATACAACTCATAAACTTAGGACTTCCTAACTTGCTCTGATACAAATAATGCAATCAAAAATTTGGGAGAGGGCCCCAAATGTTTTTTTTATCAAAACAAAAACAAGATTTCTAGGATGATAGAAGACATAAAAATACTCAAAACTTGATAAAATATAACTAATAAAACAAAACACAACTTTAATATTATAAAAAGACTTACAAACAAGGACTCTTACAAACTTTGACGCTTACAAACGTTTAACAAATTTATGACTTCAAAACAAACACCTAAAGAAGCTTTCATCCATTAGAAGAAGGATACAGATGAGGTGTAAACTTGCGGAGAGACGAAAGAGATTAGAAGCCAAGACGAAGGGTGGAAAGAGCTCGCAAAATTTCCAGAGGAGGTGGGAGAAGAAGGTGGACAAAGCTCGCAAGCTTTTCCAACAAAACCCGCAGGTTTACATTTCCAAAATCATTTCATATAACATTACTTAAACATACACAAAACATCCCTATATATAGGCACGAGAGGTGGAATACAAATAGCCACAAAATTAATTTAAAAGCTTATTTAAATAGGGAATATGAAAAGCCAACAGTCAACTCCAGGAAACGAAGCATCAAGCCACGGAAAAGCCCCCATCAGCCACTGGAAAACAGCCCAGGCGAAACCCGAAGAGGCAGCCGCAAAAGCCAAGGAGGCCCGCACGGAACCGAAGCACCAAGGCACGGGAAAACCAGCAGCCAACGGGGAAACCAAGGAGCCAAGGTACGGGAACCAAAGGGCCATCCACGGGAACCAAGGAGCCATCCACGGGAATCAAAGGGACAACAAATGGGGGAATGAACCTCAATTTATGAGCTAAAAAGGCTCTCTACTAGATATTAATGAGCTGATATCTAGTAGAGGAAAGCATTTATGAGCTTGAAGCATAAGAAGAGGCTCATTAATGAGCTGATTCAAGTAGAACTTACAAAATTTTCAACTCAACTTGTTTTGATCCATTCCTTGCCTACATCAATGTACAAGTGCATATACGAGTGTGTTAACATGCAGATAAAAGTATGAGTCTATGTTTGAACATGCAAACTTGTAGTATACACCCATTTCTTCAATATTCAATTTATATGATTATTTAATAACAAATTCTAAAAATTACTTTTTTTTTAATGTTTGTTAGATCGTAGAGTCCAATCCTTTGATCTTAGAGTACAATCATCACAATCCTTTTCAAAAGCCTAAAAAACTTGCTTGTTTATTCAGACTGTACGATTAGTTCATACGCTGCCTCCAGGATATTCAATAGGTTTGTACCATTAAATATCGTACCAAACTACTCTCTATTTATTCAGATTTTATGATATGATTCGTACCATACGATATTGTTCATGATATGATTTTAATTATTCTTTTGGATTCTCGATCCTTAATTAGGTAAATGATATAAATAATCTTCCAGTATTATTTTTATTGTATAGTATAATTAGTTAAATTTCAAATTTACTTATTTAAGTAAACAATTGATATCAGTTGTTTAATTTGATTATGACTTATTGTACGGTTCGATTAGTATCGTATAATATATTTAGTTTTGCAAATTTAATTCTAAAAATCTTGTTAATTAATTTGACTTGATTATTTAAATTCACTAGAAAGGACACTCATATCGTATAGTACGATTCAAGTTGTACAATACTATTTGTCATTAATTAAGTGATTTTAATTAACTGATAGTTGATTATCATTCTGTTTCATGCAATATATATTTTATTAGAGCCTTATTTGTTTTTTCCTGTATTTGTACTTCTCTTTTATGCTGCAATTCTTGAGTGTACAATCACATATTTTCTTTAAATGATTTAAATCTTCATTAATGAAAATAAGCTTATTAGGAATAGTATCATGAATGTACGTTCATTTTGTTTATTTGGTGCAGTTTGAGGGTGTTGGATCTCATGGAACAAAAGTGTTAATATATAATCTTTGGATGAATGATAATGGCCTTCTGGAATTAGACTTTGATGACGATGACGAGGTATGTGAATTTTATGATGCATCTGCTATACAGCCACTATATATGTTGTTTCCTTTGTAGGTTACCATGTTTCTCGTTGGTGAAATGTAATTCTAAGTCAAGGGTAGTGCAAGAATTTGCAAAGTAATAGTTCCTTCAAAATTGTGGCTTGAAGCTATGTTTAACCTATTATTCTTGTACCTATGTTATCACCATGTTTGTGAGCTAGCTAGATTATAATGACCTTGCTACTGTATTTATTGTATTCACAACAAATATATAATAGAGGCTTTAACTTCTTGATGCGGCTGTAACCTTGTAATCTCTTTCTCTCCCTTCAATCTCTTGCCGCTCACCATTTTTACCAGTTTCCTTTTATGATTTTGTTTTAAAGACGTATTCAGTATTCTTTGAACGGATTGGAAAAAAGGAAGAATGAAAATAAGCTTTGGTTATCTAAATCTCTACTTCTAGGTCTGGAGCTTGAGTGAATGAATGGATAATTTTTGAGCTTTTATTTGCTAAGAGAGATTCACAAGAATTGAAGAGAATTTATTATGTATCTTATTCCAACATTTGTGATGAATTTTGTATAAACTTAAGAGGGTTTCTAATATAAAAAAAAACAAAAGCAATAAATAGAAAAAAGGCAATACAGAATTAATTATAATAGGATAGCCTATGGCTTGTTGATGTGACATCAATGATCCCATGGATCAATTAAGTGGAAATGAACTAAAGAAAAAAGAGGAGGCAGAGTGCCGTTTGAGGCGCTGGCTGGTAGGAATTCTTGATGTGAGTTGAGGACAGCTAGCTTAGGCATTGGATGTCTATCAAAAGTTATGGGCAGATTTTCATATAACTTTAGGAATAATTTAGGGCTATTTTTTACACTCCCCTGGAGGAAATAATTGTATGCTATCCATTAGACTAACCTTTATAAACTTTTGGTGAGAATATCTATAAATTATTCATCTATGGATACAAATGGATTACATATTAGATTGTTGTCCAACATTTTTTTTATAGTACTTGTCAACTTCAATATGCTTAGTATGATCGTGTCGCCTCGCTCGCATGAACAGAAGCCGAAACCAAGCCCCTGCCCTTCCTTGCTCTCAAGGTGAAATGTCATTCTTCTTCCTCTTCTTCTTCCTTGTCTCCTCCTCCATCTTTCTCTTTTTCTAACTCTTCGTCTTCTTCTTCTTCTTCTTCCTTGTCTTATCTTCATTTCTTCTTCTTTTTCTTCTCTTCCTTCTTATTTCTCCTTCGTGCTTTGTTTTGTTTTACCCAAAAAAAAAAAATGCTTTTTTTTTTTTTCCCCAAAAAAAAAAAAAAAAAAACAGTAACTTCATTATGCCATTTGATTACTTTTGAGGTCAAGAGAGACCAGGATTTCCCCCTTTTTTTCATGAAGGTATTTTCAGTTATGACTTGCCTAGTCCATTGCTTCATTCATGATATTGACAAGATGTTGCGATATGTAGATTTGAGATGATTAATGCGTGAGGTGTTGAACTATACCCATGATCTTGGTCTTCTTAATGGACAAATTAACTGACAAATATGAGGTTACAATTTTGATAGAAATGCTAGCTTGCTGGTGGGTTTAAGGGATTAAAGTATTGTCACATGGTCTTTTATTATTATTATTATTATATAGTTCTATTTCTTTGAACGGTGAGATAATATCTCTCTTATGTTCCAACAAATTATGTACTCAATGCGTTATTCATTGTCAAAGATTTGTGAGATACTTTCATTAGTGTTTTAAAAAAGATGCAATGTTTGGAAGTCTTTTTTTTAGTCTTTTTCTTTCTTCTTTTGAAAAGAAACATGACCAATGGTAATAGATTTGTCTACATTGGACTTTAGTATTAAATATATACTCGACATTATGCAAGGGTAGATGCTATGTAACCATGTTACATAACTTAATTTACACCCCAAATCCAATGCTAGGTTGTATAGTTTATGTTGAAAAACTTCATGAGTTAAGGTTGCTATGAAGTATGTAAATGAGTTTGGGACACCATGTGTGGAGCAAGCTTGTGCTCATATTTTATAGACACCATGTGTTCGCTTAATCTTGCATTGAAGAACATTTGTGCAGCTAAGAATACTGAGGCTAATGAAATCACTTATAATGAATGTCATTGGATTATAGTGATTGTTGGAGATGCAGTTATAATTAAGAATTTTATTATGAATCACTCCATGGGACTCTCAATGTTCAATTATTTTTTTAATTTGAAGATGCTTGCAGTTATTGAAACTCGGTTTATCTCAATTATAATGATGCTGAGAAGATTCAAAAAAATAAAAAATGCCCTTCAGGCTATGGTGATCAATGACAAATGGTCTTGTTATCGGCTACGGTGATTCAAAAAGATGCTTGCAGCTATGGAAGATGATGTTGGAAAGACAAGGTATGTAAAAGAGGAGGTTTTAGATGATTTATAGTGAGATGAGATTAAATACATCTTAAATTTGATTGATCCAATTTATGAGATGTTAAGAGTTGCTATTACTGATATGTCTTGTTTACATCTCATTTATGAGATGCGAGATTCAATGCTAGCCATGGTAAAATAAATTATATATAAACATGAGAGAAAAACACTTCATGAAGACTGAAGTTTTTTGGATGTTATTTATGTTATTCTAGAAGATAAGTGGAGCAAAAGTAACACAATTTTACATTGCTTGGCTCACTCACTAAATCCCAGTTAAATTTTATCATTTTTTCATTATTAGTTTATAATTTATTATTTAATGATTATCTAATATATTTGATTTTAATGCTATTTTAAGATATTCAAATAAAGAATGGCTTCAAGAGGATCCTCAACGAATTTTTCCCCTAGAAAGATTTCTAAATTTCAAATATGAGGAAGATATGTTTAAAGCGTTATTTTCAAATGAGGAGAGAAGATGTGTCAATATAGAGCTTGCTAAATTTTTTGGTTATTTAGAGGACTTTGGTGACCAAGAGTCATTGCGTGATAGGTAGAGAATTGATCTGAAAATGTAGTGGTTGATACATGGAGCTTCAACACCTCTACTTCAAACAATCGCCATAAAACTGTTTCGCTAAGTTTCATCTTCATCTTGTTATGAAAGAAATTGGAGCACATACTCTTTCATCCAATCAATGAAGAGAAAAAATTACTCCATAACGAGCTGAAGATTTAGTTAATGTGCATACAAATCTTCGGCTTCTATCAAGGAAAACTCCAACTTATATGGAAGGAGATAATATAATGTGGGATGTTGCTGGAGATGGATTTGAATCTCTTGATGTTATCGAAATATTAGAAATTACTAATCTTTCACTTGATGAGCCTGAATTTGAAGCTATGATATTTATTGAAGATTATATAAAAGTTCAAAGAAAAACCACTGAAGAAGCTAATCTTATCATTCATTCTATTAAATAGTTGAAAGTTTATGTGCTAGACAATTTTTGTTTTTGTTTTTGTACTAGACATTTAATGCTTACTTTAATTTTGATATTATAAGCTACAAGGCTATAAATGATGTTGCTTTTATTTTTTTTGTCATTTCAAATATTATACTTTGACTGCTTTCTTAATTTTTATGTATGATTTATAAATTATATTGTCATGTCCGCGCTGTACCCATATCTTATTTTTTTAAAGATTGTCATGTCTCGTATCCGTATCGTGTCATATCCGTATCGGTGTAACATAGTCTAAATCCTAATGCGACCTTCATTTATACTTCCTCCTTTAGATCGCCATGTAGGAATATATTTCTTACATTAATTTGTTGTATTTTCTAGTCCATATTCATAACTAATGATAAAAAAGGTCGAATAATGTTCATTTTAGCAATTGGAATGAAGGCTTTAACATAATAAATCATGTATGTGTGTAGACTTTAGCCAATTGTTTTACTTTATACCTTTCTAATGAGTTATTTGATCTATTTTTTACAATAAAGACTCATCCATATCCTACTGGATTCTTTTCTTTTGTCCATGTTACCGATTTCCATATTTTGTTCTTTTGAAGTGCTTCCGTTTATTCTCTCATAGCATCATTTTAATTCTCATTATTTAAAGCCTTAGACAGTTTTGGGGATAGAAATTGTATGGAGGTTATTAAGGAAGAATTGATGATTATGAGAAAGATTTTTATATGATTTGAATGCATACAAAGGACATTTTGTGGAAGTTCTTGTATTTTTTTTGCTAAATTATTCCATTAATGGATTCAACGATAGGGACTGATTCGGTTGATTAGACTTTTGTAGATTGAGATTATCGTTCTGCTTTAGTAGATTTGTAATGGCTGGTAGGTGTTCTATTTTATGTTTGGACGAGGCCTTCAATGACTTTGATAAAGTAAATCCATTTTGAAATTGCAAACTTCTGATGCATCTATAGAATGCAGCCGTAGGTGTTAATTACAAACTCGATCTTCTACAAGCAAGCAGTCAGAGTTGGTAAGGTTGAAATAAACAAAGTGAATGCATTAAAACACCTTGATGATGGTCTCGTTGATTAAAAAAACTAAATTGTAGGGAATATTATCCCAAAAAAGCTCCCAAAAATCTTTTGGAGCTTAAATTCATATGAATTATGAAAATTCAAAGGAAATTTTTAAACTACAAAAATATTCAAGTGAAATTAATCACTCCAAATTTAAAGCAACAATTCATCCACCATCTATAATAATTTATCAAGGACGACAAATATAAGATTTAAGCTTACAAAGAGCTAATATCATATTAAACATATCATTATGGTATCTTTCCAAGACTTTATTCTAGTAAAGATGTGCTGGTTAATTTTGTCATCAAATGACACCAATAAATAACGATTATGATTGGGGCCCTTTGATCAGGTAGTTTCACTTCAAAATGACATCATTATATTACCATCATAGCTATAGCCTGAATGTTCTTTAATGGCTCTAGCACTATAAGTTATGAGTTATATGGTGCATTTGATATGAAATAAAGCTTATGTTGGCCAAGGTAGACTTAAAATTATCCTCTTGAGCAAACAATATCCTCATGTCTATAAGATTCCTTTGGATGATACAAGCAATGGTTGCTGATAAGAATTCTTCAGTTTGATTGGGTCGAATTCCTCCGTTAACTAAGTAGACTAAGGGTTATGATAACATAGGTTGATGGAACTATGAGATTTGGATTGGATTTGTCAGCATTCCCACCATCATGTGCTTAAACAAAACAAAGGTAAATTCTTAATCTTATACCAAAATAACTACTACTATATACTAACCATTTAGCATCTATCAATTAGTCTTAATTGAAAGTTATATTTCATGACTATGAGGGGTAATTAAGGAACTTTCACTTGTCGGAAACTTGGAATCAGATCATAAAGTCCTCACAAAATGAGGGTAAAATCACGGGGCACTATGTTATTTGCAATCTAATATGTCTTAAAATTTAATCTGAACAAACTCTCTCATGAGGGTTATACACAAAATTTGAAGCCTTTGTATAGGAGATGGAACAATCAAAGGAAGGGTTGTGAGTCTTCTACATGTAGGGAGCTTTGAATTTGTCATATTTGGGCGAAGTTGAAATTAACCTAAATGGGATTTTTGAGGTATTTGAGAACACCTATAAAATTACATAGCATCAATTTTACTTTGTGCCAATCACATGAAAATTTAAAACTCATGCTGATGCGGACATCAGACCCTTAATGTTCCCTCAGGGACGTGGCCGATGATCGACGGTTATGATGACACCTTTTTTTATTTCAATTATATGTGATGTATTTATTTATCTTCTGTCTTTTTTCATTTACGCCCTTGCTTAAGGGATTAGTTCTTTGTAAGCCCCGAGGGCATTGTTGTCTTTTATTTTTCCCTTATTGTATTTGTCTATTTAAGTCTCTCCTCTTCTTGGAGAAGGGTTAATGAGGATTATTATGAAAGTTTCTACCTTTTTGCTCTTGTGAGAGTTGAGACTTCTTGGAGAGAACTTGGAGAAAGTCCCTTGGTGAAGGGTAAAAGCAATACCCATCAGTCGTCGGAATCGTCTGGGGCTCGTGGTTCGACTCTTCCCCTTGCTACCATCGCCGGCCCTCCTTCATTTGCCCTAGCTGTAAGTCATCTCCTACCTAGCTCCACACGCCAGCCAGCCACCAACCCTCCCCCTCCCACCGTCCACCACCCTTTTCCCCAAATTAGCCGCCGACCCACCTCCTTGCCGCTGGCCACTTTGGCCTCCCACCACTAATGATGATTTCCATCATCATTACATTTTGCCAAAAAAATTCACCCAAATAATTTAGGAGAACCTTTAATTTGAAATTCAAATTTGAATTTCAAATAATTTTCTAAATTGACATAGCCATTTCGGGAAAGCTTTCAAATCCTATCACCCAATCAATTTTGAAATTCAAATTGTTTCGTAAAATGAAATTCTATTTTAGGAAACTTCTCCAATCAAATCCAAATCAAATTTGAATTGGATTGGATTTACTTCTTCCCTCCCTAATTGGAATACCCAAAGAAGCAAGCATTAAAACCCTTCCCCTAATCCCTCCTCTCCTTCTTGCTGTCCAACTGATCGGATAAGTCCCCATTCACTGCCTGAGACTTTTATGGGCATGAGAGTGTGCTGTCCTGAGAAAACCTGCACCTGACTGCCTGAGACTTTTATGGGCATGAGAGTGTGCTGTCCTGAGAAAACCTGCACCTGTTTCTTGCTGTCCAGCCGAGTGGAAGGTCTTTAAACGCTGTCCGGACACGTCAGATTGCTGATCACTCCTTCAAGAAGGTTCGTGGATGCCATCTACCTCCTTCCAAGCCTTCCTATTACCACCGGAGCTTCGTATACTTCATACTTCGGATAAACTCGACCTCCGACTCTTTTAGCCTCTTAGTTTATTTCTCCAACGTGGTTATATTTTGATTCACAAAGATGTTGTTGGTCCCTCCGCTAAAGCCTAGTAATAGGAAGAGTTGAATGAAGGTTTCCTTGTAGTAGCTAGTCTTAATGTTAACAAAGGGATTTATTGTTGAGACCATTCACGTATGCAAAAGTAGATTAAATTGATTGATTTTTATGCTCTTAACTTCTATGCACGTAATTTAACCAATGCTATTTATCACTTTAATATTTTATTTTATCGTTCAAATCAACATGAAATCTTGCTTATTATTGTTCTCTAAAACTAAACGTGCAAACGTCGTTAAGCATCTCATCTTCCCATGTTTGTTCTACATCACATGCATTTCTTTTATATTAGATACCTAATACTTGCGATCAGACATCCAGATCTGATATCCTTCTAAAAGGTTTTGGTTGTGAAGGTGCTGATCTTGTTGTCCTGTGTACTTGGAAGATGGTATTTTTGATATGTTGTGATTTAGGGTAAGGAACGCGGAGTTCTTCTGCAGGCATTATTGCGATTTATTTTATTTCTTTTATGGAATTTCATTATGCATGCTTGCCAGGTTTTTGAAACTTGGTCACCCTGTGATCATAAAATTTTGTACCACTGTAATGTTAACCGTTACAAGTTTTTGATTTTATATGCATTCATTATGTTTCTTTTAGCGTATCATTTGGTGGATAGTAAAGGAAATAGTATGTATTTAGTCTTTTATCTGGCTTTATTATTATTCTGTATCCCTTGGTTGTGATTTTACAGCCTTGTTCCGTTTTTTGCATTCAAATTCTTAGCATTAAAATAGAGCTGCAATGTCTTGTTCTTGTTTCTTTTTTCATATTGAAATTTGCAGGATATACGGTTGAGGGATCGATCCAGTAGCGAAGGCTTTTCAAGGTTTCATAAGGAAATAGTTCAAACGCATATTTCTTATACCCTTAGATATTCGTTGAGGGTAACTCTCAGCAGTTTCTTGTATAAATTATTATTATTCTTCTTTATTATATTTACTCATCACTGCCACTCTGATCGATGCAGGCATATTCATCCATCCTTTATCTTAGGACTTTTACAAACTTTCAGATTATCTTAAGAGGCAAACCTGTGGAGCAAATAAAAATTGCAGATGAATTGAAATTCAGGAAAGCAGTAACCTATAAGCCACAGACAGGCTTGGCTTCAGAAGATGTGAGGAGTCATTTTCTGTTTCATCCCTTTGTATAATTATGTTTCTTTTTAATAAATATTTTATGTTCGGCCTATGACAAATTCGCATTATTGAAGCTATTTTTTTACGCAAACATCATGGGCTAATTGTCTGAAAAAGGCACAATGATATTAGTACGGTCTACCCTTGAATTGTTATGTTATGAGACCTTACCAAACCACGAATGCTATGAGAAACCTGGTGAAGCCAATGCAAATTTTATCCATTCTCTTCAACATGCAATCCCACATATATTGCAGCCTTTGGTGGCTTATTGTAGGAATGGGCACTTGTAATCATGGGGGTAGTTAAAGCTCTGTAATATCTAATCATCTCATAATAGTACTATTCTGTAAAAGTAAATGAGGATCCTGGTAAAAGGTTTGGTGTGCTTTACGGGTTGCCATTTAGTGTACTTTACGGGTTGCCATTCTAATATTACAAATTTTTTTATTGGCCATGGCTCAACTGTTGTACACTCTAGATTGGATCTGGCTAGTTCAGGTTGTTGTGGGTGACCCTAGATTAATTGTTATGAATATTTATCTTAGGAATATAAAAAAATGCTAAAAAAATTATTGTCGGAGGAAAAGATGCTGGAACTTGACAGGTGATGTTAATTTTTGATGTTATGTTGTTAAGAGCTGCAAATCCGAATTATTTTACTGAGCCAGAGATAACATAATTAGGTCTATTAATACGATTATTATAAAAGTTATAGAAAATAGATGAAACAAGCGTGACTTGACTTTATGGTGTAGTGAGGAGATTCAAAAGCTGATTAATGATTTGAAATGTTCTTTTAAAAGTGGCAACTAATAAACACAGTTTATACCTACAATGGTGGTAAAATGGCTAAATTTCTTCAAGGGGATTGTAACTAAAATAAAGGCTATAGTTTTTAATGATTCATGCAATAGTCTGGGAAAAGGAAAAATGAAATCTAGAGAACTTTGATAAAGATATTTATTCTACAAGCAACGATGAAAATATCTTAAAGACAGAAAGAAAAGTAAAGATACTGCATTGAGAAATTATTAAATGTTAGTTTTAAGAAATACATAAATTTAGAAATGCAAAATGAGCATAATAATGATATATATTTTGTATTAGTTTTAAAAAAAAAAGTGAAGTTAGCTTTAGAAAAGTTACATAAATGTGAAGTTATAGGATTAGATTATATGCCTGTTAAGATCTGGAGAATAGTAGGTGATATTAGAGTAATTTGGTCAACTAGCCTTTTCAAATAGAATGTGAAGGCTAAGAAGATGTTAAATTATTAGCATAATATCTTTGTAAAATTTAAGAATGAAAGATTTATTTATGATTATGATAATTATTGTCACGACGCGGTTAGCCCGATTTAACGGGGCGGGAATTGACGGTCGTACGGTAGTCACAAAAACTTAACACTTTCATTTCACAATTATCATAAACAAGAATAATCATCCAATTACAAAATAGGAAAGAGCCACTAAACTTTCACTTCAAATATCTCTATTACATCAACACAAACAATCTCTCAAAACATAAAATGAAATCACTATAGTAGTCTCACAACACATCAACTGATATAAGATATAACATAACCATAAAAATCTATTTCCTTGAACTACTCTACGCTGGTATGTAATAGGTATATCCTCCATCAGTCCTTAGCAGGTTCTTCTGAAAATTATTCTCACAAACAAGGGTGAGCTAACGCTCAGTAGATAATAAATATCTCAATTAAATTCATAAGGTAAGGAAAGAAGAAACATTATGCCATGAAATCTTCATATGACCAAACTGAAATAATTTTGAGGAAATGTATTATAATGTAAAAAATTGATCTTACATGAGCATATTCCATATATCATTTTGAATGTTTTTTTTTAATCATAACATTTCATTTTTCAAATCTTTTGCTTAACTTTTTTTTTCTTATTCTTATATGCATAGAAACATATAATACTTAGTTTTAGTTTTATACACCCATCCCGGAAGTACCAATATATTTGTGCTGACCAGGTATATAATCAAATTTGGCCAAACATTTTATTTCATTTACTCTGAAGAGTCATTTACTAATTGCTCCGAGGAGCCCTTTACCATTTGCTCCGAAGAGCCCTTTATCATTTAGTATTGTAGATCATCATGCACATTCAATCATTCAATTCTTATCATAGAAATTAAATCATTTATGAATTTATATATGCTTGTCTAATATTATTTCATGCTTAAATGTTTTTCTTAAATTTTACAAGTTAACAACTAAATGAATTTAAAAGGGACTACATGCTTGCTGCAATATAAATCATAAATGAATAACATGTAGTTTTCAACTAAAAGAACATATTAAAGTATATGAAATTTTAACATTCAAAAAAAGAAAACTTATGAAATTAAAAGTGGTATGAATACCTACCTCAAAAGTACAGTAAACTTCAACAACGCCGCTTACGCTCGAGGCGTCCCTTTATAACTGACACCTAAGTTTAAGTGTAACAACAAATCATTAATACAAATTCATTAATTATGATACATTCTATATATTTTTTTATTAAATAAATAATTAACTTTTTATTTTCGGATTTAATAAATCCTTAAATTTTAAAAATTCATATTTTGGTTTAAATCCATTATTTACTTAATTCAACCCTTTATCATTGCCTAAATTAATTTAAAATAAAATTAAATTTTTACCCAAAAATCCAAATTTTTGGAAACATAAACCTCACAAATTTCAATTCAATTGCATGCCAAAACTTCTCAATTATTCATTTAATAGTTATGGTTTTCTAGTTTCAGATTTATTTAATTTAAAAATTATGAAAATAAAATTTTTGCGAAAAACCCTAATTTCCACCATTAAAAACCCCTCCTAAGATCATTTGGAATAATAATCATGAAGGGATTTTCTTAAAAATCCAAGAATATAAAAAACCCTAATTTTTCAAGTTCAAAATTTTTTTGGGGAAACTTGCAATTTCATGGTTAAAATTCTTTCTTAAACCTTCCCTAGTAATTTCCTCAAAAAAATTTAGATTTTGGAGAAACCCTAGAAATTTCTCCTAAAGAAAATTTTATAAAAACTAAGAATTCTCTTTATTAAATCTTACCTTAACTCTCCCTTAGTCTTCCTTTTGAATTTCCCCCAAAGAAGCCGCCGGAAAACTGCCGCCGGCACCGGCCAAATCTCCAAGCTGCGGCTCCTTGTGTCTACCTCCCCCTCTCTTTTGTTCTGCCGAAAGAAAAGAATTGAAGGGACCGAATAGTTTCGGTCCCTTGAGGCTTTGGTGGGTTAGGGATTTCCAAATGACCATAATACCCATGCATGTTTTAATGTCTTTAAGACTCATGAGGGTTATTAAGTAATTTTTTTATATTAGTAACCCTTTGGTGATTTTTAATTCCAATTTCGTGCACAATATACTATAAGTCTCTTATATCGTTTCGATTGAAATTTAATGTACTATTTTATAAAATTATTTTCATTTAAATCCGACGACTTTGAAAATTCATCTAAATTTCATTGCGGTGTATCGAAATGCGTGCAATATTTACGATCGACATTTTCGGGTTTTACAATTCTGCCCTCCTAAGAAAAATTTTGTGTTCAAAATTTAAAAGCAATAAAATAAAACCATATCTCAGTCAAACAGATGAGGATAGTTTTCCTTCATTTTTGACTCCTCCCAAGTAGCATCCTTTTCAGATTCATTCTTCACATAATAGTCATTTTTTTTTTTTAAAAGCTATTTTCTGCACATCTTACTCTTTAGCTTTAGGTTGATGGCATCCTATTTTGAGATCCATATTTGAGAACGCCATTGCTTCGTGCTGTTGATCAAAGGGATTGCTCATTTGTGCTAAAAGTTACTTGTTCTTGATGATTATTTTAGTTTGTTCTCCATAATCGATATATAATCTCATGCTTTCGTTCTTCTCCTTTGTAAACAATATTGGAGTTCCCTAAGAAAACACTTAGTCGAATAAATCTTCTTTGAGCAGTTCTTGTCATTGAAGTTTTAGTTCTTGTGACTCCATTATTGACATTATGCTGATTGTTCTTGAGATGGTGGAAGTATTGGCAATGTATTTATAACAAATTCTATCTATCATATTGGTGGCCATTCAGTCAGATATCTAAACAATCTCCAGCTTGTTATAGGTGCTCTTTTCAACTGAACCACTTCGCAATCTCTATCTCTCATGTTAACTAAATCAGATGACATTTTTTGACATAAGTTTTCTTGCTTGAATCATAGAGACTTAAGGGCAAACTGTTTGTCTTTTTCTATAGAAGGTATAACTTAGTTCATTGAGTCTTCTACCCGCATCTCTCGACATTTCATCATAGCATATTGTTAAACAATCCATTATGAGAATGGCATCAAATTTAATTAATGACATCATGATCAATAAAAATGCAGATGCTTTGCTTCTATGGAGTAATTTTTCATGCACACATGCCTATGCTTTATTCCCTTCTCCAGTTGTCAACAGAACAACAAAAACAATGCTCAACGGGTGAACTTGTGATATTTACTTCGAGCTATGAATAGATGTGATGGTCCTTAATTGAATAACTCAATTATAGGCGAGTCATGGATATATAATACACATGTAACAAGCTCTTGCTCTCAGGTAACAGCAAATACTTGACCACCTGAAGTCGACTAATTTTTGAGAATTGAGGAGTTGACACTTATACTAGAGGAACATTCCTTCTTTTCTCAGTGTTTACACCTAGAATCCACTTGAAAATGTTATAGGGCATTCTTGGGTAAAGTGTTCAACCTCTTATCTATGGAGATTCTATTAGACAATGGACTCTATGTCTCTTCCCATACTTCGGGCAATTTGTGTTGTGCTTTGTCTCTTCTTTGAAGAGAGACCGTCACCCATCCTTTTATTGATTATTCCATTGGCATATTATGCTCGTACCTAAGTCATCTTCTTCTAATATTGAATTGCGGTGGCACACTCCATCATAGATTGAAAGGCAATCAACGTGCAGGGCCACCCATCGCCTTGTATTGCTCTTAAACTTTGCTTTGAAGCTTGCTTTTCATAAGACTGATCTAGATATATGTTAGTAGAGTGGTAAATACTTCTATATTTGCTACACCAAATGTATAAATAATCTTTCTATCTCTATAAAAATAAAAATAAAAATAAAAATACATCTCTCAATATGTAGAGATAAATATTTATATATTTTTTATCTTTATCTCGATAAATCTCAGACACAATGTTTGAGGGTAGAAAAATGGAGAAAAACTTTGAGGTCGAGAGCAAAGTTTACTTAAGAGAACTAGAACGAGATATAACCTTCCTAATATAACTGTAGGCATACACTTATTAACTCCTAAGAATCGACTGAGTGAGAATGAAAAGCATGTTTTTAACATCGCTAATAGCGATATGGGTGGGCAGATAGATTTATAAAAAGTATTTGGTCATTAATTTTTTGTGTAGACCTTGACGTCATCATTTTATACTGTATGCAGAAGTTATTTAATCACATAATTCAGGTGTAACACACACAAATTTGTTCACACGATAATTGGTAATTTAGGATAAAGGAGCTATTCTTTGTACTATTTATTTCAAATATATTTATCTGCCTATTGAATCTTTTTCCTTCTTGAAATTTTTTGACTTGCTATAACTCTTTTCGGCATTCTGTAGATTTTTGTGTCATGTATTATTTGTTTTTATTCGTTGATTTTCTAAAGGAAATAATTAGAGTATCTTGTGCAACCAAATTCTTTGCAACTTGAGCAAATTCTTGCATCCCGTTTTATTCCAGAAATGTATGCTCATCTTATTAAATTTGCATCACCTTACCCAATCTGGGAGGGTTTGAATTCATGTGAATTTATTTAAACGTGTACTTCTTAAATGGTTACATTAACTTTAATTACTTTTCAGGCAGTGGCAAGAACAACAATTGGTTTCGCAAAAGAGGCCCCTGTTCTTGGTATTTTTGGGGTAAACGTCTATCACAAGAATCGCCTTATCATGGTAAAAGTTCCCCCCCCTTTTATCTGCATGTTTACAGATACATAAATGCCCAAGGAGATATTATGATATCTGAGTATTGTTTTATTATTTGTAATGCAGAATTACAAAGCATACGGTGAAAAAATTAAGAGCAATTTTTTTTTTGAAAAGAATTCATTATGAAGTTCAAGTGACAAATTAAATTAAATGTTTCAACTGAACATACTTTATTGTCAAATCCATCTAAGCCATTGATGTTTGTTTTCAAATATTAGCAAAGATGAGTTCTACTTTTCTCTATGTTTTTCTTGAGACATTATCCTTCTATTGAAGCGTTTGCCCATTCTTTTGTTTCTTTTGCTGCGGTTTTAGTTTCCTTTTTATGGATAGAGTTTCAACAATGAAAAAAGGATTTCTTCAAGGTAATGCTAGTTGGTTGTTTCACTTTTCTGTATACTTTTCTCGAGAAATGAGAGACCATTGGTCTTTTAAAAGCATGCGTGAGAATACCTCCAAGCTACTTGGTTTGGGTACTAAAATTATTTCTTATTTTGACTTGTAGCATTCATTGCTTGTTTCTTTTTAGTGGCCAGTGACCAGCTATTGTTAACTCTGCATGTGACATTTTATTTTCTCCTAAAATGATTCACAATCTATTTCTCATTGTATATTTCTGCAATTTCCCGTGGAAATTTCTGGATAAATGAGATGTTATGTGATAACGCATGGACCGTTCCCTTCGAGACTAGTCCAGCAGGCCCAACCCTTGGGCTGACTCAGTTATTCAATTCCTGCCCCCTTGGGGTGGGGTCCACTACCTAATGGAGTTTGTATGTGGGATTGTTTATTCCTTTTGCATTATTTTTTAATTGGCTTTAAGTAGAAGTTTGTATTAGGTTAGGACATCTTTTTGGTGGCTGATTTCTGAGTGCTTTTGGTGCTCTAGAGCTCTAGTGGCGTGTGGAGAGTTTTGGAGAGATTAATTCTCCTCTCGAATGGAGGATCACTTATATCTTGGTATTCTTCATTTCCTTTCATCAAATAATACAAAAATATCTACTGTTTTCTAGGTTTGCTTGTAGTTTTGTTGAGATTAATCGCTGATTTTCCAAGATTGATAAGTTTCGTTTGAAAACTACAAGCATGTCCTATCAAATTAGTGTCATGTAATGTTTCGGGATGCTTGGGAGGGTGTTTCGGTAAATTCCTGCAACAGGTTTTTGTTCGTAAACATGGGATTTTAATGTTTTTAGGGTCGAGATTTAGATTTTTGAGTCGAACAAAAATTCGGGTATCAATGGTGGCCAAGAAGGTAGATGCTTTGGAAGAACGGCTTGAGGGGCAGATGTGCCAAATGAAAGCGACAGTGGAGGAGAGAATTTCCTTCTTGGAAGGCAAATTCTCGGATCTTTTGGAGATGGTGAAGAAAATATGGGATCATCAAAACAAAACGTTGGCATCAGAACTAAGAGGACTGGTAGGAAGAAGTATGAATTCTGAAATTCGTAGAGATGAAAATGATGTGTGGATCATAGAGGGAGAGGGAGAAGACCCCATATGGAGTCTTTCCAGAGGGAGGAGAGGGGTGGTAGATATAAGGAGAGGCATGAATGTGTGGGGTATGAGCCAAGGGGTGTTGATTCGGGAAGAAGGGATGGAAGTCTTGATGGCGTGGGCTGTGGGGCTGATTTTGAAGAAAGGAGGGGGAATTTGAAGAAGGGTTTGAGTATGAACGTGGAAGGGGGGATCGAGACATTTGGGGAAGGGGAAACTATGAGAGAATTTAGGGAAATTGAGGGGATCTGAACGTCCAAAAGTTGAAAATGCCTATTTTCGAAGGAGAGTATATATATGGGTGGATCTTCAAGGTAGAGAGGAACTTCGCCATCATTGGGTTAATGGACGAGGAGAAATTTATGGTAGTTGGTCTATATTTGTAAGGGAAGGCTTTGGCTTGGTACCAGTGGAGAGACATAAGGGGGTCCATATGGAGTTGGACAGAGTTCAAAGAGTGCTTACTGGAATGTTTCCGAATTGGCAGGGGAGGGGACTTTAATGAACAGTTCTTTGCCTTAGTACAGGAAGGCTTGGTGGAAGAATACTGCGAGAGATTTGAGTATCTGGCGAGTCAACTGGATTGACTATCTGAGACAATTTTGGAGGGGAATTTCATGAAGGGGCTCAAATTAGAGATACGAGCAGTAGTGGTAGTAATGAGACCTCGTGAGCTAGGAGAGGCTATGGAGTTAGCTCAATTGGTGGAGGATCAGAAGTACCAAGAGAGGGGAGCTAAAGGCAGCATTTTAGGTGGCTCCTATAGGATGACCACCACTCTCTTAGCACCTAAGGGGCCTATAGTGGGCAACCTTCATTTGACCCCAAGGGAGATCCCGTAGGAGGAGGAAGTGGGGGGAACTTCAGGGATTATGCTTCTGATGTGATTAGAAGTATACTCTGGGGCACAGGTGCAAGGACAGAACTCTTCAGGTTCTCATCGTCTATGATGATGAGGAAACTGAGGAGGGAGGTGAGAGGGGGACAGGGGTAGAGGAGGAGGACAAGCTATATCTTGACATGGCAGAGGTCTACCTGAACTCAATGGTAGGATTCACCCCGAGTCATACCATGAAGGTGAAGGAGGAAATAACAGACAGAGAGGTGTTGGTGTTGATTGATAGTGGGGGGTTACGCACAGTTTCATCTCCAACTAGGTCGTGGACCAATTGGAAGTGACATTGGTGGCGACAAGGTGTTATGGAATGATGATGGGTATGGGGAAAATGGAGACGGGCTGAGGAATCTGTAGGTGAGTGGTGTTGACCATACAGGGGGTTTAGATGAGGGAGAATTTTCTTCCATTAGAGCTAGGGAGCACTGATGTCATCCTTGGGATGAAGTGGCTACAGACCTTGGGGAACACCAAGGTCAACTAGGGAGTAGTGACGATGGAGTTGGTGGTGGAGGGGAGAAGTGTAGTGATCAGGGGAGATGCAGGACTATCTAAAGGCATGGTGTCATTGAAAACCATGATGAGGAGTATACTGGAGGTGGGGTAAGGTTTCCTGGTGGAGTTGTAGAGGCGGGAGGGGATCCGATTGGAGGAGGGTGGGGACATTGCTCCTTTAGTACAACCATTGATTCAGCAAATCGCGAAAGTTTTTCAGCCACCTTAGGGATTGCCAATACAGAGGGAGCAGGAGCATGCTATCACCCTGAGGGAAGGGGTGTTACCCATCAATGTCAGGCCATACCGCTATCCTCAATTTTACAAGGTTGAAATTAAGAAATTAATCAAAGAAATTATGGAGGCATGGATTATTAGGCCTACTGTGAGCCCGTTTTTCTAGTCCAGTGTTATTGGTCAAGAAAGAAGATGGGAGTCGGAAGTTTTGTGTGGACTACAGGGCCTTAAATAAGAAAACTATACCCGACAAATTTCCCATCCCAGTGATAGACGAGCTGAGTGGGGCAGTTATATTCACTAAGATAGATATGATGTCAGGGTACCATTAGATCCGAATGAAAAAAAAAGAATGTGCCAAAGACTGCCTTTAGAACGCATGAGGGACTGTATGAGTTTCTGGTGATGCCTTTTGGCCTCACTAATGCTCCAGCCATATTCCAGTCCCTCATGAACAGGTGTTCCAACGCATGATGACTCTTTTTTTGAGTTTGCATCATGTGCGCCAGCTGCTTTTTATTCATAGCTTGGCAGAGTTTGGCCTTGCTTTTGTTGCTATTTTATTTCTCTGTTGATCTAACTTCCCAACACACTGGCTTGCTTCTGGTGATGCTTTGGTTTGTTATTATGGCTTTGCTTTGCTCTTCATGCTGGCTAGTTATATTTCTTTGGCACGTAGTTGCTAGGTAAATTCTTGTTTTTATAACTGTTGTTTTGTTTGTTTGTTACTTTATTCATTGAGTGCTCCATTTTGGTTGCTTATTGTTACGTATCTAGCTGTAACATCAAAGTTGCTCCTCTCCATGAGCATGCAGTTTTTTTTTTTATATGTATAGTGTTTGTGAATCGATATAAACTATCATTGGTGGCCTTTTTTTCATTGGTGCTACTTAGGTACTTATCTTTTGATTGAATGTTTTAATTGCTTAATATTTTATAATTCTCTTTTTTATTAAAGTTCCACATAATGTGTTTTAAAATTTAAAATAATTTAATTGTTTAAAAGAGTATTCAATATTTATTGCGGTCTAATTTTTCTATACTTGATATTTCTGCATATTATCTCTTAAATGTGCACTTAAGTGATTAAAGGGCAAATGTTATTTGTGCTTTGCATTCAAAACATAAAATACCTTAATATTTGCCATTGTGCTTTGTTCGCTAGCAGAATTTCTTTGATCCATTAGTTATTAGCATTATTAAGATATGTTGTTGAAGGCCATAGGTGCTGTAGAAGGAAATTCAGGATATCTGATGCATGGATAACCTATTTGATTTGAAACAAATGCTAGATTCAGGAATTGCTTAGGAATAATTTTGAATTGGCAAGCTTAACAATTATATGTATTAATGGTGATCAAGGGCTGATTTAAGCGACTTCTCAATTGTTGATAAAGTAATAGCAAACAATTACAGATTTTAGCGGGGAGCTGTAAATAATAACCAAGACAATAAGTACTTATCTGTAAGTCACACAAATCCCGCTATTAACATTTATAACAGTTGCAGTGAAGTTTCCTCACTCACTCTTCGAATATTTTTAACGGAAGAAAATATGATACGATATTAACAATGCCACTAAGAAGAAGTAAACATTTAAGGTTTTGAGCAACAGAAAGCTCCCTGGAAAAGAAGTAGTGGGTGCACTAGAGGTGAGTTGCCATTGGTCGGGATGCCTTCGATGATCAATGGCTGTTGTAAGAGAGAAGCTAATATTATCCACGTATTCTTTGATAGTGTTGTTGATCTCGAAGTCGATGTTGAAGAATGGAGATCAATGAACGTCGACTAAGCCTTGATCATCAAATACGAAGCTGTAATCAAGCTCAGGATCGTCCAT